AGAATTGAGAATTGAAATATGAAGGATCTAGGCCAGTAAAGACGACGTCATTCCTGTGCTGCTCGGTTCCTTTGGGACAGTGAAAAGAGACTATCAGAGGTCATTAGAGTCAAATGATGAAGCGATCAAGGTGGATGGACCGTAAAAGGCAACTCTGCCGGAAACAACTCTTATTCCAGCAATCTAACCATTGGCAGAGGGTTCAGGCTGATGAGATTTTCATGTCACGTGTCGACGGAGCATGATTAAAATTTAAAAATCAACTAAATTTGAAAATAAGCTGTAGACAAACACATGAACAAAGGTAGGCAATTTGCAGAACTGTAGTTTGAACAGATCTGCTGCAGCAGGCCTACTGAAGAACGGTGAAATGGCTCATCAAAGAAAGAGGGCGTTCGGCAGTCTGTATAATTGCTTCTGCGCGTCCACGTGGGAATAATGAACTGGGTAACGGCAAGTGCAACATTTGCCTGTTGTCAAATGGCAAATGGCCGGGTGCAGCAGTAGGGCACCGATGAGTTCAGATGGTGGAAGACGCATTTTCCATTGGGTCTGGGACTGGTGAAAGCTTTCAGACAATTAGCAGCATGCTTATGTGATGACGACATGACTCATCACGTCACAGCGTCATCGTCACGCTTGGTGACATTTTCTGTCCAACCTCGTCAGTGCATGAGGCGCGTGACCTCTGGTTCTGGTGACTCATTGTCAGCGACTGCCTGTTCATCAGGTCCATCGACTGTATTGCAGAAAAACAACGTTGACCCCGTTACGCTGTCTCACGCCTGGTGGATACGCTCAATGACACTTGACAACGCCTGGGCAAAACGATCAAATCAGATGTTGTATGGCATGGCATCGCATGGTGAATCTGTGCCCCCGTGGTTTGGATCATGCTCAGCCCCTTTTCAGGGAGTGACGTAGTCTATAACAGGGCATGTTGCAACGAACATCGGTACAGTCAGGTAACAACTTCATTGCCGAGGTTTCAACCTCGACAATTGAGACTGCTTCATAGTTTCGTTCCAGACGAAGTTCGCTTAATACCAATGTTTTGATTCATACATTGGTTGAGTTGAATTGCCAAGGTTTCCTTTATCCTTGGACCGAAAAAGCTTTTATTTCGATATATTAAGTCAGTCAGCAACTCATTCCATCTTCCGGTCAGATAGTCCGTCAAATTTGCTTTCATCTGGGCACTCCTTCCATTTGCTATTCCTGTAATTTGTCTTCATGATACGCCGCATTGTTCTTAGTCGTATTATACTATGCATAATTAATGTTTTATTATTTTTTCTGAAATTTATTTGGCCTCAAAGTTTCAAGTACGAATTTTGTTCGTAAGGCTTTCTTACGTTAAAAATTACGAAACAGTTGCATTCCAGGTTAACGTCCAGGTGTCAATGTTCGTTGATAATTTTACCAATTCTTGCCAGAAAATAAACAGCAACTTTCTGGCATCCTTAACTGTCTATCCAAGGGCGCGAACTATTCATTTTAAACTTTAATCATGTTTTAATTATGCGTTCTTTATGCATGTTTGGTGCCATTAATTTCCAGCATTATTCTTGTTGCCTTTCAGCACTTACGAGCATCTCAAAGCCCCATAAGATGACACGGCGCAAACAAGAAGTAAACGAATGAAAGTAGTTAGATTAATGTCGCCATGCAACGCAGCTGCCATCGTTTACTGTTGAAGTTGAATCTCTCAGCGACTTATGATCGATTGTTCCGTCGAAATAAGTCAACTGCTATTAAATGCTGTCAAGCCTGCTATAACTTCATAGACAACAAAGGGAAGAACAGAATAAATTTTGACTTTGATTAATTTGTGTATACAAAGAGAATCTTATGCAAACTAATAATTCCTTATGATCGTAGATTTATGAACGTGTTAACTGGTACTGTATCTAGTAGTGGAAAACTCATTCGTGAATCTTCTTCCTTTTCGCTTGAATTCAGTTTTTATTTTCGTCCCTATTTTACGCGTGTCCCGTTTCACTTTTGCTTTGAGAAATGCGAACAAACGGTGAACTGTAGGTGTAACGCGGATTTAATAAAGATAACACTTCACAAGGAAAAAAATGACAAGTTTCTCAGGAACAGTATAACTGTTCACTATGGCAGCGGGTTTGTGATGCCAAGTACCACATATAAACATGTACCTCAAGTCAACAGATATCTTTTGGCAGATTCTATGATAATACTGGACACAATTCGTTTATGTCACCCAACAGAGAAGTTATTGTGACAACATGGTGGCATGATGCAACAAACTGTGGTGCAATGCAAATTCCTGATCCGCACTACCGTTCAAATCGTCGCTTCTCATGAACACTTGTGAGGTAACGGTAAACAATGCATGCAAAGCTTGTTATTGCGTTTGAGCAATTCCTTCTAGGTTCTAAATTAGCATTTTCTACTCAAACATATCTAGCGGAAAGGTTGGGAATTGCCATCCGTATAATCCCCAAAACCATCCTGAAACCTGCAGGTCATTCAACATGTGCTTCAGTTTACTTCCTATTCACTCATTCACTATTGCTACTCATTTTGAATCACCGACCAAGGGCAATTTCTTTATACAAACAAGTAACTAATTCCCTGCAATTCAGAAACTTGAGAGGATAAGGATAATGAGTTCACTGGCGAGTGGTCCTCCCAGCGCTGTTTCTAGCTGTAGTCCGAATGCTGTCAAAACAGCCAACAGCAATGAACCGATCATCCCAGCTCGGCTTACTTGTTGTGCTGAATTCTCTGTCGAGAAGTCTTAATCACGTCGGCGTTTTTGCGAAACGCCCATAAATCTATATGATAGTTACTGACTCTGAGGGAGAAGATGAAACTTTACCTCATCACGCTCGCTAAGCACAGATCTACGAATGTAAGCTACATATGATGCTCGTCGCTATAAAGCTAGGACGTTCTTAATGTATTATTGCCGCGTCAATAATGTTTTACCCTCAGCCCGGCACTGAGTAATCTTCAATATGCAATTAAGCCTCTATTGTTGACTGAATTTCCCTTAAAGGCCAGTTTTCTTCCGTGCTTGCAATTTCATTCAGATTGCACAGATCACAGCCTGAGACAGTTGGACAATTAAATAGTCACCAACATTCGTAAGCGCAGAAAATGCCCATTTCAATATTCGAAGACGCGACAAATCTTCGTATTCCGTATAATTAGGCTCTCTAGTCTTATCGAACCCTTCGGCGTTCTGTCACATGGTTTAGTGAACAGTTTTCTCGTGCAAATGATTCTTTTCCGATCTTGGCCAAGTACGGAAACCGCCTCGTTTGGGACTTGG